AAAAAAAAAAAAAAAAAAAAAAAAAAAAAAAAAAAAAAAAAAAAAAAAAAAAAAAAAAAAAAAAAAAAAAAAAAAAAAAAAAAAAAAAAAAAAAAACAAACCTACTCAAAGGCGTTAAAATCCAGCATCCTCTATTCGGCGAGAGAGACTCCGAGGAAGAAGCAATCAAAGTTGGAATTCTATTTAAAATAATGGGCTCCCAATTTCAGAAAATTGTGAGGCTTCAACCGCGAGCGATCAAGAATTGATTGTAATTGCGTAGGCGATGAGGTTCCAAGAAGAAAAGAGAGTGTTTGTATCAACAAACACTACATTCTTAGATGAAGACCACGTAAGAAATCATCAACCTCGTAGCAAACTAGCATTGTGTGAGATTTCAAAAGAAGTTACTGATAAAACAACAAGAGTTGTTGATCAGGCTGGTCTTTTAACAAGAGTTGTTGATGGAGCTCGCACTTCTAGTCAATCACATCCTTCTCAAGAGTTGAGCATGCCTCGACGTAGTAGGAGGGTTATAACTCAACTCGATCGTTACTTGGGTTTGACAGAAACGCAGGTCATCATACCTGATGATGGCGTTGAGAATCCATTGACCTATAAACAGGCAATGAATGATGAAGATAGAGATCAGTGGATCAAAGTCATGAATCTTGAAATGGAGTCTATGCGCTAAATATATACGATATATTTAGCTGCATTTTGATTTAGTTATGAATTAAACAAAATGAGAGAATTGAAGATATTTAAATAAGATTTAAATATTTTAATTATAAATAGGGATTCATAATCAATATGTGCCGGAATTGATTGGGATTAGATGCATAGAAGCTAAATCTAGATTACAACCAAATAGAAGACGTATAGGGATTCATTATCAATATGTGCCAATGTTTTAAATACATAGAAGCTAAATCTAGATTACAACCAAATGGATGGTATACAATAAGACGAATTGCATGCAACAACATGTATGATGCACAACATGTTGCTTTTTTTTTTTTTTTTTTTTTTTTTTTTTTTTTTTTTTTTTTTTTTTTTTTTT